AAAAAAATATTTTATAAAAATGTTCAGCATCTTTATACATTAAGGGAAATGCAAATCAAAAGTACACTGAGAGTCCATCTCACCTGGCTCAAAATTACTATCTTCAAGAATACAAATAAACAAACAAAAACAAAAAAAATAAATGCTTCCAAGAATGTGGGGGAAATACCTCATATACTGTTGGTGGGAATATAAATTAGTAAAGCTGCTATACAAATCAGTATGGAGCTTCCTCAAAAAGCGAAAAATAGAAGTTCTGCATGATCTGGATATACTACTATTCAGTGTATACCTGAAGGAATTAAAGTCCGAATACTATCGAATTACCTGCATACCTGTGTTTACTGTGGCACAGTTCACAAATAGCTAAGTTATAAGATTAGTCTAGGTGCTTGTTAACTGATGAATAGATTTTTAAAATGTGGCACATATGCACACAATGAAGTATTATTCAGTTATAATGAAGAACAAGTCATGTCAATTTCAGTAAAATGGATGGAACTAGATATAAACATGCTAAGTGAAATAAGCCAAACTCAGAAAGACAAATATTGAAAGTTTTCTCTCATATGTGGAATCTGGGATGGCGGGGGGAAGATGACATGGAAGTAAAAAAGGAGACTATTTGAAAAAAGGAAAGGAACAGGGGGCAGGGAAGAGGTGGGTAAAGAGGAGACAATAAAGGCATGGAAATGATTAAAACATGCTATATGCCATAATAAAACCATTATTAATAAAAAATGAAAGTTGCCATGCTGGAATGGATATACCAGGTGAAGCCATAACTAACCAAAGGATTATGTTCTTTAGGAGGATCCAGAAAATAACTATTAACCAAAGATACCAGAAATGTGTTGGTGAGAAGCAAATTAGCATCATCAAAAGTTCGATATTTATTTTCCTCTGTAAGCCAGGTTTGACAGTAGAAGAGATGGTCATACAAGGAAGCCATTATAACACATAATTCAGCTAATTCTCATTGACTTCTTTTGTGTACCTAATAAATTCCATTATTTGACTAGAAAGCACTTAGAACAGTGGTGGAAAATATTGAGCTCTATACAAATTTTGCCATTACAATACTATTTTCTTGAATTAAAATAAGTAATTGGATTTTAATAAAATTTCAGTAGCAAAAAAAAAGATCATTAGTTTCCATGGTGTCTTTTCCTATTACAAAGTAATAGAAGCCAGATTTTAGCCAGGAAGCCACAATTACCACAATGACTAGGAGGGTCAGAGAGCAACCAAAAAGACTTGATCATGGAGAGTTGTAGAGATAGTTAATAGACGGGCAGCCAAATAAGTTTAATATTGTGCATAATCCTTTAGTGTTCTTTTTGTTTCCTTCCAAAAAATTATGCTTAATACAAAGATATTCTCATTCTTTCTTCTATCAGTTTTATGGTATTGATGTTATATTCATTTCAAGTTAATTTTTGTATACAATGTGCATAAAAATGTGCCCATTAAGGAAGATTTTTTAATAGCCATAAACCAATTAACCCTCAACATAAGTGTATAACACTTGCAAAACACTGAAGAAAATTTCATTAGTAAAATTATATTCAACATGTTGAATTTATAAATACATTATTCCTTATATATTTATACTAACTATATAAGTTCACTATAACTATATAAGCACCAAAAAAACAAATAATCCAATCAATAAATGGGCCAAGGACCTGAACAGACACTTCTCAGAAGAGGATATACAATCAATCAACAAATATAAGAAAAAATGCTCATAATCTCTAGCAATCAGGGAAATGCAAATTAAAACTACTCTAAGATATACCATCTCACTCCAGTAAGAGTGGCAGCCATTATATAGACACATAACAACAAGTGCTGGCGAGGATTCAGGGAAAAAAGGTCCACTCATACACTGCTGGTGGGACTGCAAATTGGTGCAGCCAATTTGGAAAGCAGTATGGAGATTCCTTGGAAAACTGGGAATGGAACCACCATTTGACCCAGCTATTCCTCTTCTCGGACTATACCCAAAGGACCTAAAACCAACATATTACAGGGACACAGCCACATCAATGTTTATAGCAGCACAATTCACAATAGCTAAACTATGGAGCCAACCTAGATGTCCTTCAGTGGATGAATGAATAAAAAAAATGTGGCATTTATACACAATGGAATATTACTCAGCAATAAAAAAAGAATAAGATCATGGCATTTGCAGGGAAATGGATGGCATTAGAGAAGATTATGCTAAGTGAGCCAATCCCAAAAAAACAAATGCCGAATGTCTTCTCTGATATAAGTGGGGTGACTCAAAATGGGGTTGGGAGGGAGAGCAAGGAAGGAGGATTACCTCTAGATAGGGAATAGGGGTGGGAAGGAAAGGGAGGGAGAAGGGGAATAGCATGGATGGTGAAAGGAGATCCCCATCATTATACAAAATACATGTATGAAGATGTGAATTTGGTGTCAACGTACCTCATATATAATCAGAGATATGATAAATTATTGTATAATGGTGTATTAAGAATTGTAATGCAAAAATAAATAATTAAACAAGTAAATAAAAAATAAACTTACCTTTTTTCTGCATATCCTGATAAAGTTTGCTTATTTCTATCTTATGTTCCTCCCCTTTGATTTTCATTTCACTCACAAGTTTAGCAATATTATTCTTATATTCCTAGAGATTAAAATATTTATTCATTTTTCAATCTAAATATGTATGCATAACTTTTGATTAACTGGAAAACAGCAACTTTTAGTTTATATTTATTTTGATATGTAGTCATATCTAAAATGGAAAAATACTGTCCATTGTTTGAATAATTAGCTGTGAGACAGACCAATTTCTTCATATATATGCATTTTAATTTTTTAATTGACAAAAATTATATACAGTGTATGACCTGTTGTTTTTATATATATACTCATGGTGAAATGACAAAATCAAGCTAATATATAACCTCATATTTTTTGTGGCAAGAACATTTGAAATCTACTCTCTTGTATATAATACACTGTTACTAACTACAATCACCATGCTGTACAATATATCTATTGAACCAAAATCTTGTATCCTTTGACCAGCAGCTACCCAGTCATAGCTTACTCTTTAGCATTCCTCCCCCAACACTCAAAGCCCCTGTTAACCACCACTGTACTCTCTGCTTCTATAAGTTCTACAATAAAGATCAGTGTCCGATCCAAGAAGATGAAGATCATTCAGAAACAATGTCTTATCTTTGCTTCCTGAATATACCTGATCAATGTTTAGCATATCATGTATGCTCAAAATAACTGACTTAACTGTATGATTAAATGGCACTACAATATTAAATAAAATATATGTCCACTATAATCCAGAGCTAAACTTTAGAATTAACAGAAGGTACTGTCTGATAGATTGTAAATTTACTCTAATATAGGGTCTGGACTGAACTTCTATTTCTGAAAATTATATAAACATTTCTAATTTCCAGAAAAGATTAAATATAACCCATGATAAGCATTAACATTGTGAGAAAGTATCCAGAGAAAGATGGATTTGAGATTTGAAAATTCCCCAATGGCTATGGAGATTGGCTTCTTAGGTCACAGAAACATAGGGATAATTTATTATTATAACCAGGAGTAGAGCAAAGAGTACATTTTGGGAGAAAATTCCCCAAAATAAATTTAACAATTTTCCAGGTGTATTGTCCTATATAAAGAAACAAGGGCCGGGTGTGGTGGCACACACCTGTAATCCCAGCAGCTTCGGAGGCTGAGACCAGTAGGATAGCCGGTTCAAAGCCAGAATCAGCAACAGTGAGGTGCTAAGCAACTCAATGATACCCTGTCTCTAAATAAAATACAAAATAGGGCTGGGGATGTGGTTGAGTCTCCCTGAGTTCAATTCCCAGTACAGGAGGGTGGAGGAAGAAACAAAGGACAGGCCTAAGATGTAGGCAAGAAAAAAGGAAAGCAAAAAATAACAAAAATTAAGTAGGATAGTTGAAAAAAAGACAATAGAGGAAAAAGTCAAGAAAAGTCTCTAAACATCATAAAATCGGACACTGGGACTCACCATTGTATTCCCAACTCCTTGCATGAATCTATCTATCTATCTATCTATCTATCTATCTATCTATCTATCTATCTATCTTTTTTGGCGGGGGGGGGGTGGTGCTGGAGATTGAAAACAGGGCCTTGTGCATGCAAGGCAAGCACTCTACCAACTGAGCTATATCCCCAGCCCATCTATCTATATCTTATTTATTTGTTGAATAAAGGCAAATCCCAGTAAGCATTATGTAGGACAGATCTCTTAACTAGACCCAGCTTTTTAGAGTCCATCAATTTTCTGAAATTTCATGCCAAATTTCTGTGCCTGTGTGTGTGTGTGTGTGTGCGCACACACACATGAACACAAAGCACGTTTGCCTTTGAGCATTTTCCCCAGAAAGGATTCATAGCTATTAATAGACATTCAATAGTATCAAGAAAGTAAAACTAAACAACAACATCATCACAAAAAGGTGTACTAAATTGTGTCTGTAATTAAAAATAGACATACATTCTTCTATATTACTTTCATTTAAGAGTCATAGACTAGATTGCTATTTGTGTTACTTAACCTACCATGCAAATTACAGAAATGGCCAAACCTACTCAACTTCTTGGCTCTGATTAAAGCTGGGCAGGTGAATATAGGAATGAATCTCACAAAGTACCACTTTCATATACATATATCTAGATTTCTAGATGAGCAACTAGAAAAGCTAGAGTGGATTTTATAAACTATACTGATTGCACTAAGTCATTTCTGCCCTGAAAAACCACAAAAGAAAATTTTGTGTTCCTTTCCATTCCCACTGACTTTTCCATCTGAATACACTGCCACTAAAGTGGAATACATCCATTAATTTGGTAAGACAGTTTTTCACTCCATCTTTCAGGCAAAAAAGAAAGCCACATTTCTGAGATAATCTGGGCTATATTTCAGTAGGTTCTTCTCCCTCATTTTAGCTTGTCTCATTCCTTTTTTTTTTTTTTACCAAGCCCAAATAAATTATAATTTATTGTTTTTTTTTTCTCATTTGTTTCTGGGAACTTTACATCCCCCCAAATAATCTCTAGTTGCTTTCTTGTTTTAAGGATTTTCTGTATATAAATTACAAAAATCTTCCCAATCTCACAAATATTGCCATGAAGTACCCCCAGAGTGTTTCTAGGGAATGGTTATTTCTTGAGTTATTAATGTGCCCCTGAAGGTTTTGTACTAGTGAATCCTCATGGGATGGAGGTCATTTTATTTATTTATTTTTTTTAGCTTGCTTTGAACAGCAGATAATTAAGAAATCCAAAATCTTGTGGTGTATTCTTATTAGTTTCCAGCTCTCTGCAAAAATTCCTGTAGTATTCAAGATAAAGCATTTTTCTAGAACTTAAAGTTTTAGAAGGAAAAGGAGGCAAGGTCTTCTCCCCTTTTCTTCCTGCTGTAATTACAGTCTGACTTCCCCATCTATTTGAGCTCTAGAGTCAAGATATGAAAGGGATCAAGCAAAAATAAAAGAAGGAGGGAAAAGGGAGACAGGAGAAACATTAGACAGCCCAGAGATACTTAAACTATCTCAAAGTTGGTGATTAAAAGCTAAATTTCCCAAGAGCATAGTGAGAATGCTTTTTATTTACTGGTTTTACTCAGAAGTCTTGAGCAGTTTCTAGAGCTAGCTTGTGTTTCTTCTTCTCACATGAGACCGAATTTAGAGACCATCTTTCAAACTGAACCCTGCTTCAGATCCAACTTGAATTTTAGAGATCTAAAATCTGTCAGAATTTAATATATTTGCTCTTGGAGATGAGAAAGTTAACATAATAAATTTCCCCGAAGGAAGAAGAATAACAACTGACATATATTAAGCACTTTTTATGTTTTTTAAGTACTATATTACATGTTCTGCAATTGCCATCACTAGATTGTTCCTGTAGGAGAGAAAGAAGTATAGCAGAGGGTATGGTAGCCCTTGGGAGAGAATTAATTTGTAATTCACATAAAATGCAGCCCTTATTTGAATGTTGTAATGATTACCCAAGGAGAACAGACTTACTTACTTTATAATGGAAAACTTTTAAAATGTTAATAGAGTATATTCTAAAGATTCCATTAACACAATTGAAAAATGTATAGCAAATAACAGGCTCTTTTTGGTACAAATAAAAAGTATTATGAATGCTATATTAGTATATTCTACTTTATAAAAAGACTAGAATTCTCAAAACACATTATTTTTAAAAGAAGTTTTCATTTATTAAAAATTTTGGCATGTAAAATACGTATACCTATGTCATATACACATATGCACAAATTTTTGGCTAGTTTATTAATAAAGTAATCTCTTTTTCTAATTTAAATAAACAAATGCTCCATAAGGACTTGATTTAATGCAATTATATATAAACTCACCTGTTCATGAGATTTTAACTTCTCTTTCATAAGGTCAGCATTTCTTTTTAATTGTTCATTCTCACCTGTATAAAAATAAATAATATCCTAATATATAGCAATTTTTATTAATATGCAAATATGCTTAATATTTTAGTTTCCATTCACATATGTATTCAACAAGTATGTATCTAGCTAGCACTGTACTAGATACTAGGAATATAGAAGAGTGTCTTGCTCTTCACAGAGCTTACACGCTAATGGTGAGAGAGATGTATAAATAGTTACCACATACTATGACTACTGTTCTTACAATAGCATTGAGTCTCAAATACTGTGAGGACCTGTGGAAGAAAGACTTATACCAATCAGCTTGAAGTAAGGAAAGGTTTTAGAGAAAACGAACCACCTAAGATGAGATTTAAGTGGTAAGGCTTATTTCCTGCTATGGAAGGGCATTCTAGACATAGAACATTGTGCAGGAGACAATGGACTTGAGAAAGAGTCCAGCATGCTTAGAAAAACACATGTGAAGTACAGGATTGTTTAAGTACAAAGTGTGAGAAGAAGGTGCTATATAGGTCAGGAAATATCAATGAGGTGGACATAACTCTATGAATGCCTTTTGGTGTATTATCATAGAATTCATTATAGAATTTTGAACATTGAAGAATTGAAATTATTATAGTTGCATGCTAAAAAAATTATCTGGCAATGTAGATAATATATGGGAAACCTAAATTAGGTTAGGGGTTAGTACAGAAAAATAGGGGCAATGAGAAGGACTATTTAGATGGTAGAATTACTAGGAAATTCAGTGACTTTGGATATGGTAGCCTTTTAGGCTTCTGATTTGGATAACTGAAAATAATACCTAATAGCTAATGACTTTCTGGACAAATTAAAACACTCTAGCTAATTCTGATCACTAAGCATTCAGATAATTTAAAATTCAAATTTCCTATTTAATTGAAAATTTTTATGACCCTTATCACTGTCTAGAAGGACTCATGGAAGTGATAAAGGAGTCTTAGTTTGCCTTTTAATTGCTTTTTCTATCTTTTTTCTGGGTCTATCTCTTGGGATTTAGAAGCAAGAAACAGAGAGATGTGAAAAATTATCGAATTAACTTTATACCTGTTAGAGTGGCTATTACCAGAAAGATGAAAGATAGCAAACAAGCGTTGGCAGGAATGTGAAGAAAAGGGAAATTTACATAGAGCTGGTAAATTGGTACAGCCATTATGAAAAACAGTATGGTGTTTCCTAAAAATATTAAAAATAGTACTACCATATGATATAGCAATATTTCTTCTGGGTATATATTAAAATAAAATGAAGTAAGTTTACCAAAGAGATATTTACACTTTCATATTTATTTCAGTATTATTCACAACAGCCACAAATAAAAATAAAATAAATGTCTGACAATAAATGAATGGACTTTAAAAATGTGATATTTAATAGGATATTATTCAAACTTAAAAAAGAAATAAATCAGGTGTTGGAGATGTAGCTTAGTGGTAAAGTTTGGTTTATCAGCATGGGAGCCCTGGGTTGATCCCCAGTACCACAAATCAAAAATAAAAATAACTTGACATAATATTATATGTCAAATCTTCAAGTTGTATACTTTAAATATATACAATTTTTAATTGTCAACTTTATCCCAATAAAATTAGGAAAAACCCCTCTATCACTATATCTTTGAAAAGATGGTATGCTTGACTAGTAATCAGTATTTGATATCTTTTTACAAAAAGAAACAACATTTAGCCAGGTGCGGTGGTGCACAACTATACCCCAGTGACTCAGGAGGCGAGGCAAGAGGATCATAAGATAAAGCCAGCCTCGGCAATTTTATGAGGTCCTAAGCAACTTAGCAAGACCCTGACTCAAAGTAAAACATATAAAGGGCTGGGGATGTTGCCCAGTGGTTAAGTGCTCCTGGTAACCAAAACAATAACACTGCAAAACCAAACCAAATCAAAAACACCAACAACAAGACCCGCCCCCCCAAAAGCAAACCAACCAAACAAACAAAGCAAAGAAACATTTAATATATTCAAAATTGATTTCACAGAACTTCAAACAATTCAAGTTAAACAGAATAAAATCCTGAGAAAAGTTAAATGCCATTTGATTCCTAGAATAAGAGGTTCAAAAAGGTTATGAATTTTCACATTTATTTAACATAGCTGGGTGTCATATTTCTATCATGAAGAAAAGTTGTTCAGAGTCTTCAACATTAAGATAATGGCATGAACTGTCCCATTTTAAAGGAAAAAATGTGGGGAGAGTAATAACTAATAGTATTTCTTAAATAAATTTTAAAATAAATTTTAAAATTACAAGGACAAAAAAGAAATAACATGACAAAGTAAAAAAACGACATATAAGATCAATATTTTACCATATTTAAATATATAAGTACCTCCTTTGAGGATAAAAACTGAGGTCTATGATAAGAAATGCTTATTTGACCTGATTTTATGTTGGAAGGTGCCTTTAAGGAATTTAGTTTAATATCTGATATAGTAAAGGAAAATCTGTCATTGCATAGTGGAAACAGAACAGTATAAACACTTGGTCACTCTGTTTTGTGAATATTAGGCCTATTGAGTTAACTAACAATTAAGTATAGAATAAACTGTGTTGGTTTCACCTGCACTAATATAGTCTTATAGTCTTATGACAAAATATCAAATGACAAGCTATCACAGTAATTTGAAAAGACCATTCATGGTTAAACTAATAAATATTCACCCTTCAAAATTGGTTATTAAAAAACAAGAGTGGCACTTAGAGGAAATAATTGGCCTTCTGTATCTATGGGTTCCCCCTAGATTCAACTAAATATGGACCAAAAGTGTTAAAAACCAAAATTGTGTCTGTACTGAATATACATAGATATTTCTTATCATTATTCCCAAAATAATGCAGTATAACTATATAACACTTTATACTGTGTTAGGTATTACAATCTAGAGATGATTTAAAGTACTGGGGATAAAAATAGGTTGTATGCAATACTATGCTATTTCTATATAAAGGACCAGAGCATTCACATACTTTTGGTATCTACAAGGATCCTAAAATCATTCATCAATGGATATGGAGGGACAACTGTGTACTTACAAACATTTGAAAGTAATAAAAGAACTCATGTGATCAATTAGAAAACATTTCTGGATGTCTTTGTCATAATATGACTGAATTGTTCTGTTTAGCATAGCATTTCTTTTCTTTTTTTTAAAAAAAAACTATTTTCCCTAGTTGTAGTTGGACACAACACCTTTATTTTATTCATTTATTTATTTTTATGTGGTGCTGAGGATTGAACCCAGCACCTTGCATGTGCTAGGTCAGTGCTCTACTGCTGAGCCACAACCCCAGCTCCAGTATAGCATTTCTTATTTCATAATCATTTAGGAAAGTATTTTTAAGTAGTAAAAAGTCTTGCTTTTAGTTGATGAATTGAATAACACAAAAGGCACTTGTCAACAATGTAAAAAAACTCTAATTTTAAAGGGGCTCAAACAAATCATGTCATAAGATTTCCTCCCCTAACTTACCTTTCAAATTGTGTTGATATTCAAGGGTCTGTTGTAGCCCTTTTATCATATTATGAAGAATAGCACATTCTAAAACATAAAAGGTAAATTTCAAAATCCTTTACTTTCATTTTGGAATTATTCTCTTTATTGAAATAATTAAAATAAAATAACATTTAATTGAAAATTATGAAATCTTAATAAAACAATCAGACCTCTCAAAGTAAATTACATATAATACTTTCTAATATCCCTTTGAGTTAAGTGAATTCCAAGATTCAGTAATGTGTTTTCTGAGGCATAATATATTAGAGATCCTCTTATAAGCATTAGCAATATCTATCCTGAAAGTAAGTACATATCCTCCCCAAAAGAGAGCCAAATTATATTGTTCACAGGTAAAAGGCTAGTGAGAAGTTGCGAGATGTGGCTTTTCTTACTCACTGTCTTCCAACCTGTCCTCTTAATACTCATGCCCAGGTCTCAGGGCAAGACACAGCAACATAAAAGAATTAAAGACTCAATGATAGGGTTAACAAGGCATTGGAAACTTTGATGCCAATGGTTTCTGACATAACGGAAGACGGACCCTTCATTGCAAAAGTTAGAGCCCTGACGTGTGTATCCAAACCTTAATCATACTCTTGGTTTCCACCACCAACAGCTACACCTTTGATGTGGAGGAACAGTGATAGAAATTTCTGTGACTTTAGAATTCCACTCAGTTATAAGCTCCATGATAACAGGGACTATTTTTTGTTTTTCTTATCATTTCCCTGTGGAATTTAGAATAGTTGTGGCCCATGTATGCAATCCACAAGTATTTTTTTTAGGTGATAGATGGATAGATCAGTAAGCTGTAACAGGACAGGGATAAGTGAAAATGCTCTGGCCAGAAAATAGTATCCATTTTTATTGTCTAAATTTAAGAAGGGAAAATACAAATTTTTCACTTTCCAATTAGAGTTTCTACATTCAGGATCCATGTACTTTCTTTAACTGTGCTGTCAGAAATGAAAGTATTTTGCCAAGTTAAAAGCTTTATTCAGATATTAGGTTCTACTTTTGTAGCTTTCACTGCATACGGCCTTTCCTGTTGTACTTATCACCCATTCAGACAAAATTGTCACCATCCTCCATTTTCTCTACTTTGCTATTTCCCCGTAATAGAATGATGATTAAATTACATTTGATAGACATTAGCTGAGAACCTACTTCACATGTTACTATGCTAGCTACTATAATTACAAAACAAGTGATACTTTTTGCCATTACTAGTCCTTGTGTCTTTTACTATAATGAATTCAGCAATTCATAAAACAAGGTAGCTAAATTTACTTCCGTAAGCAGTAAATTGAAAACCAAGCCCTGTAACTGCAAGTACACTGGATTTTCTTAAAATAAAATGTGCTTTCAAAATTTGAACACAAGGTGGCTCTCTCTCACCACATTTTTTTCTACAATGGAAACTGGCTCGAAGAGGAATTATTCATAAGGTAAAATAACACTCCATAACTTGGAATAATGGGTTTTAGTGAGTTTTTTTTTCTTTTTCTTTTTCTTTTTTTTTTGCCACTGTGACAAAAAGACCTGACAAGAACAATTAGAGGAGGAAAAGTTTATCTGCGGCATAGAGTTTCAGCCTACAGAAGGCTAACTCCATTGCTCTGGACCTGAGATATGGCAGAACATCATAGTAGAAAAGCACTACCTAGGAAAGCAGCTTGGAATATAGCAGCAGGAAGCAGAGAGAGACTAAGTTAGACTCAACAAGGACAAAAGATATACCTCAAAGGCATGTCCCCAGTGACCCATCTCCTCCAGTTACACCCTACCTGCTTATAGTTATCACCTAGTTAATCCATTCAAGTGGATTAATGTATTGATTAGGTTAAGGCTCTAAAATCCTAATCATTTCACCTCTGAGTTCTCTAGTATTGTCTCACAATGATCTTCTGGGGGACACCTCACATCTGAACCACAACAAATGGCTTTTAATTTTTTTTGCAAACCTTAACCCACATTGTCTTTTGTGTTAGCCTTTATTTTGTAATTTAAAAATTAGTGTACTATTAAATTTTGCTAAAAATTTCAGAATATTATGTTATTTCTTATATAATTTAATAATCATTAATAATTTAATAATCATTTTGTGCTCAAATTTAGGCTCTATCATTAATTAGCAATTTGGGTGGAACTATTATGTACAAGTAAAACATTAGTATATTTCAATTTCATTTATTTCAGTTCTGATTTTAATTATTTCCTGACTTCTGCTTTGGGTGTTGATTTGTTCTTCTTTTTCTAGGGTTGTGAGATGTAATATTAGATCATTTATTCATTGACTTTCTATTATTTTAATAAATGAACTCAAAGCAATGAACTTTTCTCTTATCACTGCCTTCATAGTGTCTCAGAGATTTCTATATGTTGTATCAGAGTTCTCATTTACCTCTAAGTAATTTTTTATTTCGTCCTTGAATTCTTCTGCTATCCATTTGTCATTCAATAGCATATTATTTAGTCTCCAGGTATTGAAGTAGCTTCTACTTTTTATTTTATCATTGATTTCTACTTTCATTCCATTATGATCTGATAGAATGCAGGTTAGTATCTCTATTTTTTTGTATTTGCTAAGAGTAATTCATCACATCAATGACTTAAAGACAAGAATTATATGATCATCTTACTTGATACAAAAAAAAAAGGATTTGAAAACAAATAACCCAGTCAATAAATGGGCCAAGGAACTGAACAAACATTTCTCAGAAGATATATAATCAATCAACTTAGGCACTAGAAGAGAGATCCTGCACCTATTAGAAGAAAAAAAATAGGCCCATATCTTCACCATGTGGGCTTAGGAACTGACTTCCTTAACAAGACTCCTAAAGCGCAAGAAGTAAAATCAAGAATTAACACATACAATGGATTCAAGCTAAAAAGCTTCTTCTCTGGGCTGGGGATGTGGCTCAAGCAGTAACACGCTTGCCTGGCATGTGCGGGGCGCTGGGTTCGATCCTCAGCACCATATAAAAATAAAATAAAGATGCTGTGTCCACCAAAAACTGAAAAATAAATATTTAAAATAAATAAATAAATAAAAAATAAAAAACTTCTTCTCAGCAAAGGAAACAATCAATAATGTGAAAAGAGAGCCTACAGAATGGGAGAAAATCTTTACCATCTGCACCTCAGATAGAACCTCAACCTCCAGGATATATAAAGAACTCAAAAAACTTAACAACAAAACAAATAACCCCATCAATAAATGGGCTAAAGAACTGAACAGACACTTCACAGAAGAAGAAATACAATTGTCAACAAATGTATAAAAAATTGTTTAACATCTCTAGCAATTTCATTGCACTGTAGTCAGAATGGCAATTTTCAAGAATACAAGCTAGGGCTGGGATTGTGGCTCAGCGGTAGAGCGCTCGCCTAGCAAAGGCAGGACCCGGGTTCCATCCTCAGCACCACATAAAAAAATAAAAGCATTGTGTTGTGTCCATCTACATAAAAAAAATATATATATATATATAAAGAATACAAGTAACTATGTAAGTGTTGGCAAAGATGTGGGGGAAAAAGGTACATTCATATATTGCTAGTGGGACTGCAAAATGGTGCAACCACTCTGGAAAGCAATATGGAGAGTCCTCACAAAACTTTAAATGAAACTAGCATTTCACCCAGTTAATCCACTCCTTGTTTTATACCCAAAGGACTTAAAATCAGCACACTACATCAATGTTTATTGAAGCTCAATTCACAATAGCTAAACTATGGAGCCAACTTAGATGACCTTCAACAGATGAATGGATTAAAAAATGTGGTATACCTACACAATGGAATATTACTCAGCCTTAAAGAAGAAAGAAATATGGCATTTGTCAGTAAATAGATGGAGAATATCATGCTAAGCAAAACAAGCCAATCCAAAAAAACCAAAGGCCAAATGTTCTATGATATACAGATGATAATTCACAATAAGTGGGGAAGCTAAAGAAAAACAGAAGTACTTTGGATTAGGCAGAGGGGAGTAAAGGGAGGGGAGGAGGTATGGAGGTAGGAAGGGTAGTAGAATGAATCAAGTATTATTATCCTGTGTACATATATGATTACACAACTGATGTGATTCTACATCATCTACAATCAGAAGAATGGAAAGTTATACTCCATTTATATATAATGTGTCAGACTGCATTTTACTGTCATGTATAACTAATTAGAATAAAAAATAAAAATAAAAAATTACTATAATTTGGAAAATTTTCCCAAAGGCCCATGGTGTTAGAGGCTTGGTTCCCAGTCCATGGTGCTACTGGTAGGTGGTGGAAACTTCAAGATATAGGGCCTATTGGGAAGCAGTTAGGCCATTATTGGCATGCTCTTGATTTGAGGCAGCTTTTTCTCACTTTCTTTTTCTTTTCCTCACCTTTACACCTTGCCCTGAGGTGAATGTGCACATGCCATTATGATGCGCTACAGCAGGCCCAAAGTAATGGGATCAATTGATCATGAACTGAAACCTCCAAAATTTCAAACCAAAACAAAACCTTCTTCTTTTTAAGTTAATTTATCTCAGGTATTTGTTATAGTAATGAAAAGCTGACTAACACAAACATATAAAGCATTTTCTATAGTACCTAGTCCTCTATGTTAATATTATTACCATCTTGATCACTCTTACCATGTGATCCAACAATTGCACTCCTTGGTATTTACCCAAATCAGCTGAAACTATGTCTACACAAAACCCTGTATAAGGCTGTTTTAATTCAAATCCAAAATTGGATTAAACCAATGTGCCTTTTAATAAGTGAGTAGACAAATAAATTGTGATACTTCCATACAATAATACAATAAAATAATTTGTTATTAAGATACACACACATACACACAAACATACCACCACACAAACTACTCCTTAGAGAAACCTTAAATGCATATCGCTAGGTAAAATAAGTGAATCTGAAAATTCTATATAGTATGATATTCCAGAAAGGTCAAACTATGGAAATAGTAAAAAGATCAGTGATTATAGAATTTTGGGATGGTAAAATGGGAGGACGAGTAAGTAGAGCAGTGAAACTTTTCTGTGTGATATTATAATGGAGGATACATGTCATGCATTTATCAAAACCCACAGAATATATAACATAGATTGAACAATAATATAAACTATGGACTTTAGTTAATAATTGTGTATCAATATTGCCCCATGAATGGAAACAAATGTACCACACAAATCCAATATGTTGATATAAGGAAATTGAAGGGGTTGATAGGATATATGGAAATTCTATATTTTCACCTTTTTCTGTAAATCTAAACTGTGCCTGAAAATGTCTACTAATGAAAAATTAAAACTAACACATATTTTGTCTTATCATTTCTACTTGTTGTGTCACACATTTAGAAAGGCCTCTCCATTATAAAAATTTAAAAATTTTCTATTTATTTTTGTGATTTCACCTTTTTGAACTTTAATAAACTATTTTTTTTTAGAGAGAGTGAGAGAGAGAGGGGGACAGAGAGAGAGAGAGAATTTTTAACATTTATTTTTTTTTTCTTAGTTCTCGCGGACACAACATCTTCGTTTTGTATGTGGTGCTGAGGATGGAACCCGGGCCGCACGCACGCTAGGCGAGCGCGCTACCGCTTGAGCCACATCCCCAGCCCATAAACTCTATTTTTTAGGACAGTTTTAGGTGAACAGAAAAATTGGAAAGATATTAAAGAGAACTGCCATATATTCTATATCTAATTATCTCTATTATTAACACCCTAATTGGTATAATAAATTTCTTACAATTAATGAACCAATGTTGATGCATTATTAACTAAAATCCATACTTTATTTGGATTTC